AATTTAAAAATTAAATGTAGTTATTTGCCTCATATTAAATAAAAACAATGCAACCTGGATATTCCAACCACAGAAACTTTTAAAATCAATAATATGGAATATTTTCATTAGAAATACAATAGCTTGTAACTATTTCACTACACCGATTTTTTGTTTTACTGAAAAATAGTCTGTGGTATTGGTTCACAAAGGAGTTTGCGCTTGCCATGCTTCTTTAAAGTCGTATTTATTTTCTGTAGACAGAGTCATTTACATTGTTTCATTGCCCAAGAATATTAAACGAGCTGATTTGTAACAATAGTTAATTCGTTTCTATTTATTTTGTAAGTAGCCATATACTATTTAATTTATTTTTTATTTATTCCTAATTTGTAAATATTATTTCGGACATATCCAACATTTCAGAAAATTACATAAATATTATATTTTGCTAGTGTTTAATGCTACTACCTTTTCAATAGCCACAAGATTTTTTTACGGATAGTGGAAACGATTCTCTTCCTGTTAGAAATGACTCCATATACGATTGAGTTAGACAGGTGGGTATTAATGTGTCAATGATCGCCATATTAAGAATTAGTAACCGGCATTAACAGTGCAACATGCCTTTCCAAACAAGTCTTATCGTCTTAATAGTTAAGATGAGATTCAACCTTAGGCTATACATTGTTGTTGTTTTAAGACTAGATATTGAAGTGGATGAGGCAAAAATGTTGTATCAAGACTGTACTTTGTGATAGATAGGACACTCTGTACCTACCCTGCAAGGGATATGGCAGGAAGATAGTAGATCGCTAGACAATTGTACTACTTCAGTGGATGATAGTCAAATAGTGAATGATAGTCAGTCAGATAATCATGCCTTTTCCATTGTATCACTCTCATACCTAAAAAATACTAAAATTTTAATGTCGTACTTACATAGAAATATATTGAAAACGCTATTAACGTTTACGTGTTGTTTACATTGACTAAAAGTCGACTGATAACCAAAAAAAAAACTAGATCGCCGTCGAATATAAAACCTCATCCTATTCGATTTACCCTCACTATTTACGAATACCGAAGACTAAAGACTATTAAGATTTGTTTTTTTTTTAATTAAAGATTCACTGGTGTCGATTTTGAAATCCGAACGATGGAAATCAGAATTCGATTTTAAAATTTAGATCGACCGTAAACATTTTGCTTTTACATTAAATAGTTATAATCGTGCTCATTTATTTCAAGACTTTTACTTTTCACAAGAAAAACTATTACGAAATATGTTAGTTAACGTGATGCAAATGATTTAGCAACGGAGGGGCTAATTAGAACATGCGTGACTATTTTAACAAAGACCATTGCGGTGTCTCACTAATCAATGTCTAGAGTTTTATAAAGACACGTTAATTGGGTAACCGGGTATAGAAATTAGAACTATGTGTAAAAATTAAAAGTACTGAAAGTTTACTTAGTGTGTTCGAAATATTATTCAACAATTGGAACTTAAAATAGGCAAGTAAAGTAATTATAAAGCTCATCTCAATAATCTCTTGCAGCCAACCAAGGCATTGTGGCAGAGTACGAATTCTTCATTTATATCTGTTTCATAGTTGTAATAAAGTAACAAATGTGACGTTTATAAAACTTTAATTGACTTCTCAAAGACAACATAAATGAAGGGATATCTAAAGAAAAAATGAAAGCATTAACTATTTACAAAACTTTTGTGTTATGTAAATTTGTGTAAAAATTCTTTATGTAAAAAATTCTAATCTCGTTTCCGTAATCATTTTATTATTTTAACAAATCAGATACCCTGGCCATTGAACTTACTGTTAAAGGACATTCAATACTACGTATCAAAATTGGGCATGCGCATTAACTAAACTAGATAATTCGAATAGTATCTAAGCAAATCAAAACAGAACTCATGAAAGGAAAACTAAGACTTAATTTTACAGGACGTAATTGCATTTATTATGCACTATCAATGTTACGTTGCATGGATGTTTATCAGTGATCTTGGGTGAGGCTGCGGGTCGGGTCAGTGGGTCGCTCGCGCAGCCTCCAAAAGCTCTCCGGGAGAGACGCTCCTCTATCGACCGCGTGTCGCCAATACTTGTAGGGCTGTCACCATTTTATTTTCAGTTGTCGCTTCCGGGGTATTGGTTCAATAATTTTAAATTTTGCTTTCTGTAATGATAATGTAGGCAAGTTTTACATTTAATGATTTGCTGCTATATCATCAAAACTAGTATGAATGCTACTTTATATAACAAAATATTTTATGAATGAATTTAGTTATAGATAATAAAGAATCTTTCAGAAACACTATAAAGAGGATTTTTGATAATAGAAATGTTTACGAAACTATATAGTTTTAGTTTTAGACCGTTTAGAAAATGAAATAAATTGGCTTTTGTTCGTTTATAAATTGCATAAAGTCTTGAAATCGCATCTAAATGCACTTTGTTTATCTGTCCCCTAGTTTGTAACGCAAAGATTACGACCCTCTCTCAATTAAGTGTAATACAAGGGAAACGGGCTGTTTCGGAGGGTCGGTGCCGCCCCTGGTAGTCGCGCAGCATCCCTCACTGCGCAACTCGGCCACAATCTATCCGGAGGTACGAACGGCTCCGCGACTTCCGTAGCTTTACGTCCAGAAAAAGTGCACCTTTGTCCTTGGAACAGTTATGGGCGTTTAAAGTGTCAGTTTTGATATGGGGAAAGAGAAGCATCAGCCTACCGAGGCTGAGGTGAAGGTGGCTACTGTGGAGCTGGAGTCGGTGGACAATATGGCGACCCTGCCGGTGGGCCAGCACCGACAACAGGGCAGTGATATCGCCATCGCTGAGAAGCACAACACTGCTAACAAAGAGATGGAGCTGAAATGTGTGCAGCCGAGACCTTCGAAAAAGTATGTCATTACATTACGAAGAGACATTTTTAGATTTATATATTATGTAATCTCAATTAGTAATCAAATGTGTTATTAACATTTATACTAAATTTATTTATTGTGATTTACTTTCTATTATTTAGACGATGTTGCTTTTTTACAATTATTGTACTATGTCGCACAAAATGGTGTATTTAATTAGCAAATAGAGTGAGACGGAATAGAGAGAGAGAGAAGGACCTTAAAACAAAGTAGTCATTGAAATTACAAAATAGTCACAAACGACATAATATCTCTGCGTACATTCTTTAATAGAGATATTCTTTGTTGATCGCTGAATTTAACTCACTCTGAACTATTCGATGGTTGATTTTTGCAGTGATGATAAAGGGCAGTTCTTTTTTGTATACTTTTTAATTTAGAAATCCTTTTATTCTTTGTTTGAAAGGTTTATATTTATTAGTTTACTGAATAAACAAATTTGTTAATTTTGTAAAAAGTATATGAAAATGAAATTCATATACTTCTCTATGGTAAGATTGACAGATTTTATTATTTTTAAAGTTATAATTTAAATCTCGAATGTCAAATTACGCCGTTACTTCAGAAATCCCAGGAACAGGAAGTCTAATCTTCTTCTCCTTATTCCTATTTTATGCTCCCATAAATACTTTTTGTATATAAATGACTCGTTCTATCGATCTCACATTTTTTGTGAATGCTTATTGTAGTTACAGGAAACATCAATCAAATAATGGCAATGTTTTCAAATATCTTCAATTAATTTAAACCTTTACCCATTGACAATTAAAGATTGTATATTTTTGACTTTTCGTGGGAAAATAATGTGAAGTTTATTATAATTTAAGACATATTTTAAACATTCAATTATATTTGTATTATCTAACATTTTTTTGAGTCGTAGCGCAAATACATTATGCACTGACACTGTGGCTTGACGGGTGGCAGTGGTTGTGTGAGACTCCATTCGCACGGACACGCCCGAAGCCTAGTCAAAATGATTATTTTTTATATTTTATTTAAGTTTAAATAATAAAAATGGAATATTGTTATTGCGTCTGCTTGCTCGTAATCCACAGCGTTTTTTATTTAAATAAAATAATAATATTAAGTATAAATATAATATGAAATGGGTATGTAAAGTCCGTTCGTACCGTGTGGTACACAGTCATCTCTGTCTAACTCGCAAGCGGCCTAGCGTGAAGATATAGTTGATAGTGTTTTTTTAATTATATATGTGCCGAATTTAATTTATCATAATTCATCCATTTAGCTGTTCTATATTTATTGAATAAATATCTGTGTTCACAAGATTGCCTCCGTATAAACACGGACGCAATATAACGCATCTGTATATTATTATAGTACCCGTCTTGTAATTTTGGAGCCTATTTAACCAAAAAATCTTTCTTCTTTATCAAATTGGTATAGACTAGCCGTTTTCCCTCGTCATGGCTCGCGTAAGTTATGACCTATGTCACCTTTTTTAAAATATGTTAAGTAGTTTTGAAATATTTTCAATACAAACAAACAATAAATATTTTCTCTTTATAATTTTAGTATAGATAAAAAAAAAATACAGTTTTCTGTGTAAGTCTTTGTATTATGTCTGTGATGCCTAAGAGAGAAGTAAAAAATAAGATTTTTATGAAACGTAAAAACTATTTTCGTTTAAAAATATGTACGTCGTGTTTGGTCTGCGCGATTGTGGTAAAGCAACTTTTGCAAAGGTCGGTTATTAAATGGGTGATCAAAAATGACTTATCTCGAGTCGTGCCATGCTTCAGAAGACACGTTATATGATCGGTCCCGCAGTTATTAATGAACTTTCCCACATAGTCCATACATCAATATTTTTCTTTGTGGTGTACAATAAAGTGTTCATTCATTCATTCATAACTATTAAAAATCTCCAGTTCATAGAGAAAGCCTTTGCCCCAGCAGTGGCTATGAGAAATATGCCAGATAAACTGTTTCCAAGCAATAACCTTGTATTAAACACTTTTAAGGTGTGAAAATTCCTGGTGGAATGATAATGTTAAATAAAAAATATTTCTGTATTTCAATTCCTTCAATTGAAACATTTTCTTTACAGAACATCGTTGTTTATCATATCGAGTTTCATCTACGCCAAACTTTTAGTTGTGGTTTGTATTGCTTACGTCATCAGCGATGTCATCACACACAACCTACCCCTGTATTACTACGAAGGCTTCTTCACCTACCTTTATGGAATGAGCATATTGTTTTTGTTATATGTCTTCTGTTTTCTGCTTCAAGGTCAGTATACATTTTGTATGTACTAAAATAGTTTATTTAATATTGTAATAAGCTTTGCCATACTGACCGACTTAAAGATGACACAGCCTAAACCTTAAATTAAGTTATGTACTTTTGTTTTATTACGTAAGAAATATTGGAAATTTCGGTCCGAAGAGGGTTTAATGGAGTGATATGTAATCAGACCACCATTAAACACCAACAATTACTAAAGAATATTTTTCTAAGAAATATGTTTTTTATTACTTTATATACGATATTAAAAATATACCAAAGACTTATCAGTTACTTTAACAATCTTAATTTTACAATATTTTGAAAGATGAAATAATTGTAAACTTCTAGAGAGTGCTTGCTGCAGTGGTAGTCCACCAAAACCGAAGCCGCCACCAAAAGAAAAGAAGCCCAAGAAAGAAAAGGAAAAGGAAAAGAAAACCAAAGAGAAAGAACCTAAGGAAGCTAAAGACGGCAAGGAAGGAAAAGATGGCAAAAAGGATGCCAAAAAAGATGGAAAGAAGAAAGATAAAGATAAGGAAAAGGACAACCCTAAAGAAAAACCAACCAAAGAATCAAAGAAACAAAGCCAATTTCAGGTGCGTAAAACAGCGAATCAATGGATCACAGCACATCCAACACTTGTATTTAACATAATCTATTTCACACACTATTTTCGCTTAACGTGTCGTCCTGTGTTAGTTAACCACTCTTTTATTTATCACCATCGCAATAGATTTCGATAATTTAATTTTATATGGACAAACGATTTTTCTCACATTTGTTTTGTTTGTTAGCCATCACCAATTTTAAAATTATTAATAAGCTTCATCAGAATAAGCAGCATGTTCCCCCTTTTGTTTTTCGCCGCCTACTTTTTTGTTTTTTCTATATCATTTGGGCAGGAGGTGTATCCCCGTAAGATGCGTGATAAAGTTCGTCAACAACAATTGCAAATGCAAATGGCGCAATTATATGCGACCGAACAGGTGAGGCATACATTGACGCATCTCGCTTGTTCACAATGTGTATTATATTTTCCAGAAAGCTTTGGATGTGCTGTTTGTAGTTCATATTTTTGTAATTAGCGCTTGTATTGTATTCTGCTGTCGTACCACTTCGCTTTCTGAAATCGAGCCTGTGTGTAAGTAAACACTTCACTGAAAATTATTTTCAGGCTTTTTTTAGGCTAGTAGAAAGCGCATTTTTTGTTGTTTTGAAGTAAATACCCATTAACAAAGTTATTTACAGTTAGTCATTCAATTGAATGAACCTAATTTTACATTAATTTCACTTTGTTTATTAATTTAAATCGTGATTTTATAGTGAGATAAGGTAAAAGGACAGAAATCAAAGTGTCTTTTTACTTTTTACTAGAGAAAGAAAGAGATGGGAGAGAAAATTGGGGTAAGAGTCTAGCAGAAATTAATTGTACTATAACAATTTTATTTCGATCATTTTAATAGCAGCAACAGGATGTGGTGGAGTTGGAAGCAGGGCCAGTTGCAAGGCCTGTTCGGCGACGCAAAACTTCACAGAACGACCATAGTCACGGCAGCTTCTTTTTAAGAATAGGTGCTATTGGTAAGTTAATAATAGCATTCTCTTTATTTCTTCACTCAAATAAATAATACTTGGACAAATAAAAACTACTTATGTTTTTGCAGCGTTTGGTCTTGGAACTATGATCTACAATGGCCTGGAGTTTGGGACGTTCTTTGAGCTTCCATTAGAATCACCTTGCTATCTCATTTTAAAAGGCATAAATCCTGTATTACAGATGGTATTTACATTTATGCAAATGTACTTTATTTTTATGAATTCACGGGTAAGTATTTATAATAAAACTGAATAGTATAACTTCGTTTTGTTCTCAAATAACAATTATAAATTAATGTACATTTTTCAGCTGAACATTCATCGATTCAAAGTCATTGCTCGATTTGGTTTGATGCATGTAGTCGCTACCAATATCTGCGTATGGATAAGAACACTTGTCCTTGAATCACTCAAGGAAATCACTGATTACCACGTTAAAAATCCTTTAGGTCTTCCTGGCGAAGGCGTACTCGGAAGTAAGAATTTTACACATTCTTAAATTCTACATCTTTTGTTTAAAGCACTTTTGCAAGTAATATGCATGTCTAATATACACCTAATTAGAGCCCTATATTTGTATCTTCAGAGGTCATTCGTAAACATACCTTGAGGCATTCTGGTAAAGTTTTTGGAGCCGCAACCACCGCAGCGACTACTGTCGCTTCTACAGTTTTAACTACTGCCAAAAATGCTGGAGAACAAATTTTGAATGTTGTAACATCATCCACAACCGCTGAACCCACAACGACTTCTAGCACAAGTTAGTATTTATTAACACCACGCGTAAAATAACTTATAAATACTAATAAATTAACACATGACCCTGTGGAGAGTTTTGGTTGATTCTTTGCATGTGCGTATGCATTAAAGATTTTGGACTAATTTTCAGCAACTACTCCCTCAACGTATTATAACATGGGTGGTTTTGCCCCTAAATCGAAATTAATTGAGACCTTAAAGAGCACTGTAGGCTATGACATGGGCATGGGTTACGTTCGGGAATCCAAAGATGCGTGGCCAAATGATAATCCTTTTACTACCTCCACAATTACACCACTAACTACGGAGGCAGAAAAAGTAACTCAAACACAGACAGCCATGTTGGAGATATTCCAGTGGCTATCGACAACTTTCAAACCAATTTTAAGCACCATGTCAACTACAACATCTGGATCTTTCATTACTGATAGAGATGAATGGGCAAATAGTGTTGAAACTTATCGCGTAGATGAACCACCACACTCGCCAGGTTTGTCGGAGTGTCGTTTAGCGTCTCCACTTCATTTCATGCGCCCATTGCACTTTTATTTTGCATATTTGTATGACGTAATTGTTTTATGATTTCATAGAAGAGTCCTCGTTAGGTTGTTAGTGCACACACTGTCCATGTATGATTACTGTATTCGTTTTTATAACTATCCTTTTTGCATGTTTCGTTTTCAGCTACAGTTCTATAATTGGATTATATCTGTAATCTATTTTAAACATTATTATTATGTTAACTTTAAAAATAATATTTATATCATATCTTTTTTTCAGCGGATAATGCAACGGAAATTTTTGAGTCCTTCGATAATCTGAACCCTGCTGCTTTGATTGCCAACATAGATAACACTACTGTGTGTGGCCGAAATCCAATTATGGGCACCATTGTTGCCGACTCTGCACCTTATTTGTATCCATTTATTATTGAATATTCACTGATCGGTGCCGCTGTTATCTATGTCATGTGGAAACACATCGGCCGCTATCCAAGGTAAATAAATATAGTTCCATTTATAGTTAATATTAATTATGCACGCTAAATACTAATAATACATTAAGTTATAAGTAATTTAGAAAACAGAAACCAACAAAATTACCTCACTAAAATGCAACCACCCGCCAATCCGAATAAATATTAACAACTTAACATTTACAAGCACAGTAGCATGTTTAGAAATAGCCCATATTTTGAAAGATAGTCAAATTAGTTTGACATACACGTACGCGTTTGGTTGCAGTGTGGCCAACGATGAAGATCTGGAAAGACGTTTGGAGGCTGTTCTCTCCCGCAGGGCTGCAGCTTTAGCAGCTGCACAACGAGGCAATCGAGTAGACTGTGCTGGAGCTTCCAAGGGACTGTTTTGTGGACTACTTCTTCTGGTGGCCTCTCTGATCTGCCTGATTCTCTTCTTCGTATTGATAAGACACCAAGAGTTGAAACGACTCTCGATATACTTGGCAGATGTATCCCATTGTGCTCTGATGGTGCTATCGATACTCGCAATTTTAATTGGCTTTATACGGTAAGTTATGAAAATTTTTATGTGGCTGCATTATAATTTGTATCCATAATGATAACATTATACTTAATTTTTTCAAATTTATTTTTATTTTCGATAGTTATAACTTTAAGTAGTAGAGTATGTAGAAATGATCATAGAAGACCCATAATATGTTAACCGTAACTATTGCTTTGTTTAATCTGTTTTTATTTTATGATATTTTGTTTCTTTCTATATTTTGTTTTCTTTTTTCCCATCCTTCCGTGACTTTCCATGTTCCCGTTGACTCCACGGTATCACACACATTCGTGCTATTACTGCACAATATACATCCCACAAACGTTATCCTTTTCAAATTACACTTTTCGATTTCTTTTCATTTGCATTTATAATCTGTTACCATTTTTGGTTGTTCTCTACGATCAGTGGTCGTAAAATGAAATGGAGCTCTAGCCCTCCCTCCTGTACCGAGCCTCTTCGCAGGGTACAATCGTTGAAGTTCCGTTCAGAAGAGCAATCGGATCTGAATGACATCCTGCTTCGTGTCTCTGCGTTTGGGCTGTTCGTGTATGCAGTGTTCAGCGTGATTGCTGGTGGAATGGGTGCATTTACTCATGAGCCAAACCTTCTCGTCATGATCACTGGATGCTTAAGTGTTTTTCAGGTGAGATATTTGACACTGCAAATTAATTATCCAATGTAAGATTTCTTACCCGTAAAAAAATATATGCCTTATGATATGCTTAATGCCTATATTGAAAAATGAATTTAAAAAAAAACGACATCTTCACATCTGATTTTTGCCAATGTGTAAAAATGGCAACATGTAATCATGTAATTAAAACTACCTCATGATTTTTTAAAGTTACGACCTATTTGCCCACTATTCGGCGTTATGTTTAGTTTTAATTTTACTTAAATATAAATTAATGTACGTAAATATATAAATAGGTACACGTAGGTACTCGTATGACGTCATATTTATTAGTCTACTATAATATTTGTATCGCGCCCCACAGCCCTAACTGAGGTCTTTAACCAAAACATAACAAACTTATCAGGTATATTTTAATACTCTCACTTGATCTTTTTCAGGTTATACTTCAGCTATTATTTATCGCGGATGTGTCTCGTCGTCGTGTCCATCTTCCTGAGCAGGAACGCAGTAAGCCCGCACGTCAAGCCGTCACCTTCCTTCTCATTTGCAACGTTACAATGTGGCTCATCTACACTTTCGAGGTGCAGAAGGTTCTTGCCAATCCTGTGAGTATTACAAACTTTTCAAAGCAACTAAAAGTAATGATTTTAAAATTTTCTAATCTTGAATATCACAAAAATTTTATTTTACTTTTTTTTAGGCTTTATAATGACTTATTATGACTCTTTTGTCACTTGTCTTACTTATGTTTTATAATAACGATTAGGATTTCATTGATACTGACAGTATTGTTTTATTTTTCAGGTACAATTGGATTTCTACGGGTTCGTCGCTTGGTCTCTGGTTCAACGCTTCACTCTCCCACTTTGCATTTTCCATCGCTTCCATTCAGCCGTTACTCTAGCTGAAATCTGGAAGACTACATACAAAGCGCGTCTGGAGTGAACGCTTACTGAGAATGCAGGATCATGAATCCCATAATCAACTTTGACTTCGTTCTTTGTTGATCAATGAGGAGAGCTATTGATTTCGTCCTAACTCGGGGCAGCAATACTGTAGTTAGAAATAAAAAAAGTTGCTAGTACCGAATCATCTTGCTGTTTCATAAAGTGTTAGAATAGGATTGTGTGACGAATTTAGTGATGTAAAAATCAATTTTAAACGAAGGTATACCTGACGTTACAATTATGTCGAACAAAACTGGCTAGACCCCGCGGATCATCATTATGTTGGTTATAATTTTCAATGGTTGTTTCATATTTTCTTTCTTTTCACATTCCATATCTAAGTACATATACTTTTATTACAGTTTCGTGTAAACTAGGTTTCTTGGAAGACTGACAATGGAGACTAACGTGACCAAACATACATATATTTTCATCTATACTTTGCTTTGATATTTATACGTAAACAGAATTGCTCATATTTCGGATTTCTATACTTGTGTACATTTTATTATAATGAGAGAATTTGATCTATCGAAACAATGATAATAGAAAATAATTTCCCGTTGTGAAATGTTCCCTCCTTTGTTAGAAATAATTTATGTGCCATGGTTTTAGAATTAAGGCTTAATTAAAATTTGACAATATTTTACATTTCTTTGAACTATTTTTGAACGGAGGAGAAGAAATGAGTACAGCTGTAAAACAATTATTATCAAAACTATTATTATTTAAATAGAATATTAAGATTATATTTGATGTGTTTGTTTTGAAAATGAATTGGTAAGTTCGACGAATATAATTTGTTTGCATTGATAGATGTTTAATATCTCGTTCGGAACTAAAATAAATACATTTCGCGTATCTATTATAATGTCGTAAGCATATTTTAGATTATTAAATGAATAAAGTTAGTGGTATATTTAAAGTTTCAGAAGATTTATTAGCCAACATTTTGAGATAAGCAGTAGAGATATCGAATGTGCTAATTATAAGATTTGTAATTAATCAAATAACAATTTTGATAACATGTACTTAATAAAGAAGTCATAAAATATAATGCTGATGCTTGGCTACAGGAAAACGCTTTGTAAACGTCTGACGATTTATTGAATATTTTCAGTTAAAACATTTCATTGCAAGGGGGCCATAATGATCTAATTTTTATTGAACATTGCACATTTATAGAACTTTTAGTGAGTATAACGAGATGTAACATAGGATAAATACTTACATAAACATTGTAGTGACATATGTATTGTGACATTAAAAATTTTCGGAATAATCCGTATTCTAGCTAGCAACATACGCGTTTTATATATTGATAAGGTGAGGTGAAATTTCGTTCTAATGGATTAGAGGTTCCGAAATGTTTACTTAAATACTTTTTGTGCAATCTATTTTTGTAAAATGAGGTTGTTTTACATACACCAACGTTGCTAACTTCATGATGGCACGTGGTGTGATATCATTTTGGTGTTATATAAACTTTTTTTTTGTATAAAATAGATTATAATATTCAAATTATTTAAAGCATATTTATTAATTTTGTAAATTAAAGTTTAAGGTAGATTCGTAACTTATTGCTCTAGGGTATGAGCGTAACGTATGCTTACATCGTGAGAATTTGAGTGAACGTAGTTAGTTTTTGACTGGTTTATATTTTAACGTTAAATAATAATATAGCGATTTATTATTAATAAAGATTATAATATAGATCTGGGAATCTCATTGGTTTTAAGCGACGGATGATATTGCTAACACCTTCCAACAAAAAGTCCTTGGCATTATAAAGAAATCAACCAGCAGCGTGTGTGGCTTGTTTTATCACTGCCGTTAATATAAACAACCGTATAAAATATCTCGTAACTAAGTTCTTTGATAAACTTATACTATTTCTAACTTGTTCAATTTTGTAGGTGATATTTACTGGTGTACCTTAATGTTTGGAACAAAATGTACCGATGTTTGTAACATTAGGTTAAAATTATCATCATAATTGTGGATACTCGATCAATGTTATATAGAGATACCAAAAATAAAAAATTTGGAAATTCTACTTTGAAGTATATGATTAATATATGTAAATGTCTATTTGAATAAATCAAATAATATATAAATGTGAATGGTTGTTTTATTTATTTGTAACCTTACGTCTATATAAGTATAAGTGGGAGCGAAAGTTTTTAAAGATAATCAAAAAGTTACCATTGTTTACAATTTGATTTGTCATTTTATATAGATTTCCTTATTCTTTGATAAATATTGGGGGGGTATTTAAGTATATAATCGGTAACAAAAATAAATTTATGAATATTTTTTGATATATCGTTTTAAATACGAAAGAAAACACAAAAAAATATTATCTCGAGCTACTCCATGTTTGGAAGGCACGTTAAGCCATTAGTCCCGGCTGCATTTGCAGTCGTTAATACCCTCCATTCAGCATTGGGCCAGCGTGGAGGGTCATGGCCCATCCTCCTTAACCATCCATAAGGAAGGCCTGAGCCCCTGCAGTGGGGACTTAAAAGGGCTGGTGATGATGATGATAATGATGATTTGACATCGTTAAAATAATGAGGAAGTATTAAAAAAAAATAAAGAAACTACGAAAATTTATGTTACTAGATGGCAGCACAAATTGTTGGATCTAAACGTCAATTCATGACGTTAAACCAAAGAGAATAGAATCGTCAGTGTTGTTATAGATCTGATTACTCGGATTAATATTGAGTTGAAATTTAATTAGTTCGAGTTATGTAAACGCATTTCGATTAATATAAAGTAATCTTTGAATAAATTTCTTTTTTATTTGTATAGAGGGAAATGGAAACTAACATAATGCAAGCGAAGAAAAAAGTTTTTTTTTAATTAATGGAAATAAATTGAATTAATGATGTGATATAATTAAAAGTGGCATTTAGCTACGGTATACAATAATATTAACGCCAAATAGTTTTTATAAATAAAATACTTATGCCATAGTAGGTCTACGAATTTTCCATTATAATATTTAACAGAAGTTCTGGAAACAATAACATCTAGGTAAGTTAGTTTTATTGCTATTAGTTATTTGTTGAACTTACAAAAACAAAACTACATCAAGTCTCAATAATATTTTTATGTTATGTATGGTGAATGAATGAATAGGGTATATTAATCAGCAATAAAAGTCTTACAAACGAAAATTATAAAAAAAAATTGTTTATTATCTATATACTTACCCAATATGTATCAAATATACTAGGTATTCGTACAAAATAACATAGACTGAATTGATTTTGATATTTATATTAATATCATTCGTTATCATTCGTTCGTAGATGCATAATGACACATACAAATACAAGCTGAATTCTGCGTTCCGCTTTTTGTACTTCATTCCAAACCTGAATTCCGAAGAAAGTTACGAGAAACCAATAAGTTGGCTCATCACTAATGTTGACGTATTAACCGAACATCGTTCCTTTATACGTAAAATAATAAACAACTTACGATTAAAATAAATTAAAATTAATCTGAAAGTTAGATATTATAAGAAACACAAAACAATGTCGTATTTATTAATTTTCGATACTCAATTTACTTTTATTACATCAGAAACAAAATTTGAATGATTATCATAAACAAAATCCAAACATCGCGAGTGACATCTAGTATGATTTTAAGAACTAATTTTTATTTTTTAAATACTTTCTCATTATGTTGATTTGACTTGAATGATTTTTGTGAACTTGAATGAATTGTAAAACACTTATCGAGTGTAACTTTTAAAGTGTATGGCCAATAAATAATTTGATTTTAAATAAAATGTAGTAAGAAAAAACTTTAAGCTTTGCTATACTAGATAGCGTTTATTATTACCTAAATTGCGTTATTGTTTTTTCAAAGAATTTTCGTAGCTTTCTGTTTTCGATTAAGTTTTGTAGGAATAAACTTTTCATTTCTACTTTTCTTTCTATCTGTATTACAAATTGGATAGATAGCTTTATGGTTTTCAGAGATAATGTTCCGAAACCTTAAATCTGAAACATATCGGACATTAGTCGGTCAGTTACATGTGTAGCTGTACCTTAAATTAATAAATATAGCTTTTTGGTTTTTGAACTTCTTAGGTATATACCCCAAGAAATTTACAATAATTAACCAATATTGGTTACCACGACTATGAGTGAAATAAATTAAAGTCAAAAATAAGGTGTAATACTCGTATTTATCCTATTAATATTATAAAGGCGAAAGTTTGTAAGTATGGATGTATGGATGTTTGTTACTCTTTCACGAAAAAACTACTGGACGGATTTGGATAAAACTTTACAGCAATATAGGTTATACATCAGAATAACACATAGGGTACTTTTTACTGGGAAAACTTCTCACTCCCACGGGATACCGCCTTCCACGCGGACGAAGTCGCGGGCGTCCACTAGTATATAATAATAATAATAATAATCAGTTTATTTATCACACAATCATTGATTGATAGGCAAACAATTTATGATTAATTATTTTGTGCGATCTGGAGCCTAAGCTAGGGCAACCCTGTAATTCAGGACTCCAGGTCCCACCCGTGAATCAACGAGCGCTCATCTCAGTGCAAGTCAATGCTGACACAGTTTAAGTGTGTGTGTGAGAGTGTGTGTGTGTGTGTGTGTGTGGTGCGTTATTATAGAAGTGCATGTATCAGAAGGAAAATGAAAGTGCATCTATCGAGGAGATATTAGTAATGATTCTGTGTCTGTGTAATTAAGTGTGAGTAACCACTTTTCTAGAGTAGACTTGAGTAACCACTTGAAGTTATAACGAGTTTTATTATGGATGTTTAATATTCTATTTATTTTGTTGTATAAATAAGGTGCAAGGAAACATAAATGTCTTCTAACAAAAGTAGTACGATGAGTTGCTATGACAAAGACTCTGTCGGTTCTACGTTTTCTTGATATGGAGCTATTTCGGTCATATGGAACTTTAGAGTGTTTGTACAGAATGGCATGAAGGATAAACAGTTGGCGTATGCTGAGAACTGCACAATTACGATAAAGCATAGTAGTCGGGTACCGATATGGTTTTTTTGACATTACTTTGAGGATTGATCTTTGTGCTCTTTCTAATTTTATGATTTTAGTTTTACATGCTCCACCCCATACCGATATGCAATAACTTAAGATCGATTGCGCGAGTGCAAGATAGATGCTTTTAAGTGAGGATGGTTTCAGCACGTCTCCAAGTTTTTTAAATATCCAAATTAGCTTTCTTGTTCGAGATGAAAGATGAGCAATTTGAACATCCCAATTCAAAGTGCTATCAAGTTGTATACCAAGATACTTAATATGGTTCACTCTTTCCAATGATAAGCAGTTACATAATGAAAAAGGGTTATTTTGGTTGCAAGTGTGAATTTTTATGCAATAAGACGGATCTGGTTTTGAATTATTTGTGATAGAGAAGGATAAAAATTTAGATTTGGTAATATTTAACGTTAAATAGTTTTTGAACAGCCAATTGGTTATATTAGTTAGTGCCCTTTCAGCGACTTGTTTTGCTGAAGCCCAAGTCTCGCCCCTGAATATTATAGCAGTATCATCTGCATAGGAGAATATACTAGAGTTAATTGGTTTATAGTCACAAAGCTCGTTTATATAGACAAGGAAGAGACTTGGGCCCAGCACACTGCCCTGAGCCACACCACAAGTTATGGGCATGTCAATGCTTTCAAATGTACCGATTCTTACACGTTGTTTCCTATTAGTCAAGAAACTCTTAAATAATTTTAGAGGCATTCCACGGATACCCATACTTTCCAGCTTGTTTAGTAGGATGGGAGTAGAGACCGTGTCAAAAGCCTTCGCCAAATCAAGGAAGACACCAATGCACTTGTCTCCGTGGTCAAGAGTTGTAGCTACGTTATCAACGAGTTGAGCAACGGCATCCTCCGTAGATTTGTTCGGTTGGAATCCAAATTGAGATGATGATATTAGATTTTCTTGTTTGAGGTAATTCATAAGACGTGAATTAATAAGTTTTTCTAATATCTTCGATAATGCAGTGAGTACAGATATTGGGCGGAAGTTGTCGACACACTCTCCACTACCACCCTTATGAATGGGATGAACAATGGATTGCTTGAAACATTTCGGAAAAACACCATTATTAAAGCAGATATTGAAAATGTGGGTTAAAATTGGAACTATCGATTTTGCTGTTGCTTTGAGGAACGCTGATGGAATGTTGTCAGAACCAGTAGCAGAATCGTTTTTTAAGTTTTGTATTAAATTTGTAATTTCTATATTATCTGTTGGAAGCAGAACAAAAGAATTAGGATGATTTTTACTTTTTATAGCACATGGGATATCTGCTACAACGGCAGATTTATCAATTTCACTGGCAAGGTTCTTTCCCACGTTTGAGAAATATTCATTGATTAGGTTAATGGATGTTTGTGGACAACTCGAGTTGCTATGTAAAAGTTCCTCAGCGTGGTTTGTTTCTTTAATTGTGTTTGTGAATTTTCGAATAGTTTTCCATGTTTGTTTCGGGTTCTTACATTTATTTATTTCAGATTTTTCATATTCGTTTTTTAATCTTTTTAGTAAGTCGTTACAGAAGTTACGATATCTTCTGTAACTTATTTTAAGTATTTCGTTGTCCTGTGAGTTTTGTGTTTTTCTGTGCAGAGCGTCCCTATGTGCTATACACCTAAGTAGTCCAGGAGTTATCCAGGGTTTAATTATTCTTTTTCTATTAGCTATTTTTATGGTTGTTGTATTTGAAATTAGAGAATCTTTTAATCGAGTGATTAATGTCTCAGCGGCAGTGTCAGGATCACTAATTTCAAGAATGTTAGAGTGATCGTTATCATTAAAATACATTGCTGCCTTTGTGTAGTTGATGATATTTTTAATTTTTACAGGTTTCATTTTACTAATTTTGTTATTTAAATTTAAAAACACAGTATAATGATCTGTGATGCAGGTAGTGAGAACAAATGTTTGGGAGACAAAATTTGATTTAATGAAGACATGATCTAAGCAGTTAAATTTCCTAGTAGGAATTTCATGAGCTGGTAGAAGTCCATTCTCTGCCATAAGGTTAAGATATTCATCACTGTTCCGATCTTTATTATTTGGCTTAATGTCAATGTTAATGTCTCCCATGACAATTATCGTTTAAAAATTGGAAAATAGTTTTAGGTTTGTATCAAGGGATGACAAGAAAGGACCGATCTGTTTGTTTGATGGAGATCTGTAAATAGCCAGAATAACAATGTCGTCTTTTAGTTTTATTGACATACAATTTGCATCAAGCATATTCACCTGCTCCACCCTACACGATATATTTTTCCGAACATAAACTACCACCCCATCATTCTGGTTATAGGTAGTCAAAGAAAAGTGTACATTATAATTATCTATCTGAGGAGGCGGTTTGTGCTCAGAAACCCAGCTTTCGGTGAGAGTTATTATATCACAGTTAAGGGCCACCATACTCAGCACAACCAAGAAGTCGTCCAAGTTACAGTGTATACTTCTGATATTCTGGGTAATGATTTTTAGGTTATCATCCGATAATTTGATGTTGCTTAAAAGTTCTTTAGGTTCTACTAATAAAGGGTTAGATATATGAATACTATCAAGTTCCCTATTAATAAATTCAGACATTAAAATGAAAATGGTTTATAGGTGTTTTTATAAGATTGATTGTAAATATTATATAGGTAAGAGCGTGATATAGTATTAGCAACCTACATGGAGAATTATTATTACAAGTGATTTCCATCGCAAAGCAAGTCTTTACATAAAAAATAAGTTGCGTTTGAGGTGGATGAGGTATGTGGTAAGATATAATTTGTGTAGTGAAGATGTTATTAGTGTAAATGTTTTCGGTGTATGTGTTATAAGTGTAATTTTTATGGATTTTTATGAGTTTTTGCTTGTGATACGATGACTTCAATGATGATTGCAGTATGGAAGAAATTATAGTATAATGTAGTGTGTATGATTTTATGTGTATAAAGTGTATGAAGTTTGTAAAATTATAAATAATGCGTCTAGAAAGTATTAGGGTAAGGATGCCGAATATGAGATAGTCGCCAAATATGAGATAGTTAGGTTTTGGCGAAACTAATCGCCGCAGCCATTTGGTGCTACTGTCGCTAGAAGCCACGTGGCAAAAGATCAAAACGTGTGTTAGTGCTTCCCAGTCCAAGGCGAAGTTAGGTTGTGTACACGTGGGTTTTCACGAAACCCCAAAACCAAATTTTCTCATCAAATATTTACAAGGTATACTACAGCTGTATTAATTACACTGAATGATTTTAATTTACCGTCATTCTATCAATTATATCATGAATTTTATGATACATATGCAGTTTTATTACATTTTCTTTACTGAGAAATAATGTGCAGCCATTTTGTTGAATGTAGATGTTTTCCTAATATGAGACATGCGAGTGCTCCTAAAATGAGATATCTCGTATTAGGATATATAAAAATATGACTATTTGAAAAATCCTTTTTACTAGATGGGGCCGATCAAAAGGAAATCCTGAGACCATGGATCGTGGAGAAGTAACCACAGATCGATTTTTGTGTTTGTGTTTAAATATCTAAGATTTAGAATAAAAGTTTTGACTTTTGTTGATTACTAATATTGTTTAATAAGTATGATTTGAAAATCTCTGTGATTATGATGAGTCTGACATAAATCATATCTAAGATTTAGCATAATACTTTTGTTTTTGATACTGTTTAATAAGTGCCATTTGAAAATCACTGATTATGATAAGTTTAATATAAATTATAACTATGTACGTTACATACATATATTAAGTCGTACTCAGACCTATTTATTTAGGAGTATGATGTTGTTAATTAGAGAATATAGCCAATAAAAAGTTTAATTCAAATTAATTTCTTTCCTTTTTCTCCAAATCTATACTCAAACCCTAAAGAACCTAATATGAGATACTGTCTCATATTAGCAACCCTCAGTATCTCATAATAGGAGACCATTTGCCTGAGACGTAATTTCTGAACTTCTTAATATTTTTTGATATAATAAAAAATCTATTATACTCAGAACTAAACGGTCTCTCATAAATAAACTTCATTAAATACCCTATCAAATATTGCAATTTTCATAATGATTAGTGCAATAATTTATGTTTTATATCCAAAAATAAAAATGGTATCTCATATTCGGCATCCTTACCCTATTTTGTGAGTGTGATTATGTGGGTTAACAATTAAATTCTGTGATTGTATTTTACAAAATAATTTTAAAGAGATGTAGAGAGCAAATACATACGTTGGTTTTATTAGTCAATTTGTACTCAACGCATTTAGATCTTCTTCTTTGATAATTTTTGTGACCTTGCTTCCATTTTCCTTGCGAAGAAAGATTTGTCCGTGCTTGGTCCAGCAGTATTGGTAATTATTTTCGGAGGCAAATTTCCGTGCTTTTCCGTATAACCTTTTGGTGTTTGTTGTAAGACTTTCTGACATGTATATTATTTCTGATGGACCTTGAAGTTTAAGATGTGTGGTGTTTAGATTCATTCGTTTCGATTTCCTGAATTCTCTAGCCGAGTTCAAGAATGCTTCTTTTTTCAGTACAGTCGTAAACTCAACGATGATTGGCTTAAGAGACAAAGACTTAGAGACGAGACGAAATATGTCCTTTATATCACTGGTTTCTATACCAAAACTCAAAACCGCTCCAATGGATGAGACTACCTTTATCAAGTCTTCTTTGGTTTCAGGGTTTTTTTGGGGCAGGTTGCGTATTTCAATACTAGTATTCCGTCCGCAGCGCTCCAGAATGGACATTCTTGATTCCAGTTCAGTGATATATGCCAGGTTTTTCTTTCGTTCATGTTCACTTTTTTCTAGCTGTTGTTTGAGATCTTCATACTTTTTAGACATAAATTCTAATGACTCTGAAATTTCTAGATTCTGCTGCTTTATATCGTTCATAGCCGAATAGAGGGTCTCAAATTTTTTATCTTGATACTCCCTGTTTAATGACATCATTTTTCTCATTTCATCCATAATAGGCTTCAAGTCTTCCTCAATAATGTCTCCACGTTTCCGTTTGTCATGTCTAGACGCAACATTCTCTTTGCTTGCTGAATTACCGATGTGAGCATCTTTAATTTTTGACAAATCCGGCGCCGAACTACTGGCTTCTTTGGTAGGAGAGCGCCTTACCGACATCTTTTTGCCTTATAATATTCAAAGTTTAGTTTAAAACGAATATATCAAGTAGAACTAACCGGCGGATCTTGTTATAGTGGTCGCAATCGAGGATTTCAAACTAACTCGCTTTCCAGTATCCATTTTCAATATACCAGGACTTCGTTGAATGGATTAGTTAAGATCCCGGGTTCGAGTACTGGTGGGGTAAATTTAGAAAATGGCCTCTTCTATATGTTCTGGATGTTGTGGTACCTTTGTAGTCTCTGATACACTATAAAGTGGGGGGGCTTTATGATATGTGGTATAATATTATTTTTTACTATATGTGCCTACGACTTCGCCCGCGTAGAAAGTAGCCTAAGTAACTTCTTATTAGATAAGCTGCTAGTGAAAGTCCCGTCAAAATCAGTCCAACTGGTTTAGAGATTAGCTGAAACAAACAGACAGAAAAAAAATGTAAAAAACATGTTAATTTGGTATATGTATCGTGTATATATGTACACATGCATTAAGTATTAAGCGGTTATTTTAACATTACAAAAAGACAATACAATTTTATTTTGTGTACATGTATGTATAGATTATTAACATTACTATGCCATACAGCATAATTAGGATAAGACTGTTTCATAAAGTTAATTTTCTAATAAAACGCTGGACTTTTAAAATTTTCTATTGCTATTCAGTGCATTTTTGTGTTATTCATGAGAACAAGAAGTAAACTTTCAGAATTTTTAATTTTTTTTTGTTCAGGAATCATCAAAAAATACAAAGTACCCGCTCAGTCAAATTTCAAAATAAAATTTTGTCAGCCTATTATTTAAAATAAGACTGAATAGACTAGATACCATTGCATTTAAATGAAATATGAATACAATATAAAAAAACTACAACTGACTGTACGATTGACGTTTAACAACGGCAAATAAAATTGTGCTTTGTGTGAACTATCAGTCATTTTCATGCGAGTAGATGATATAATTTTGCATAGAATAATTATAGTTGAATAAGTATATTGTTATTCCTTGGCTCAGTGCCCAACATTTTCATTACCTAATTAAATATTAGAATACGAAGAAGAATTGATTTTTAAATGAGGAAGTACAGTACGTAGTTATAAATAATGAGGAATTATTTAAAAATAAAAACGAAGTAAAAGTAAAAGAAGTTATAAATAATAAAGAAGTATTTAAAAAAAAAGAAAGTAGTGGCTAAAATGCCTTCTATACGAGAAAGTGTGTCAGCAGTAATGTTATCCTTTCCCGAGATGTGCTTAATATCGGAAATAAAATCCAAATAATTGAATTGTCTAGGAGAACACTTCCTGTCTTTGTGTAGAAAAGCATAAGTAAGTGGTTTATGGTCCATGAATATTGTAAAATGTCTGCCTTCGACTAAAAATCGAAAATGTTTTACGCTTTCATAAATTGCTAGCAATTCGCGGTCATAAGCACTATATTGCCGCTGTGCATGATTAAACTTTTTTGAATAGAAAGCTAACGGTTGCCAACAACCTTCAACTAGCTGTTGCACTACAGCGCCCAAAGCCGCGTTTGAAGTATCTGTTATTAAAGCAAGCGGTGCATTAGGATATGGGTGTGCTAAAAGAGCTGATTTTGAAAGGCTTGTCTTACATCTTTCAAATGCGGTCAGTTGCTCTGGAGTCCAGGTCAACGGTTGCGAACTCTTGTTCTTTGTACCCACCAACATTTTTGTGTAATGGTGCCTGATATTCTGCTGCGTGTGGAATAAAACGCCTATAAAAATTAAGCATACCCAGAAAACGCAACAATCCTCCCACTGACGTTGGGGGTGAAAATTCTTGAACAGCAGTGACTTTCTCCTCCATGGGTTTCGTTCCAAATTCAGAGATAGAATAACCAAGAAATGTTACCTTATCCTGGCTAAAACAGCACTTGGATTCATTAATAAGTACACCACAGTCCTCCAGACGTTTTAAAACCATCTCCAGGTGTTCCAAGTGTTCGGAATTATTTTTGGAAAATATAAGAATGTCATCTATATATAAATAACAACAGTCCAGCCCACGGAGAACTTCATCAAGAAATCGTTGGAATGTTTGAGCTGCATTCCTCAGGCCAAATGATATAAATGGGAACTCAAACATTCCAAAAGGTGTAGTTTTTGCTGTTTAGGGTATATCGTTTTTATAAACTGGAATATGATGGTATGCTTTTACAAGATCTATTTTAGACAATATTGTGCAGCCTGCCAACCTATGTGAATAATCTTCAATGTGTGGTATGGGGTACCTGTCAGGTATAGTTCTAGTATTGAGAGCTAGGTAATCTCCACATGGTCTCCAACTATCGCCCTTCTTCGGAACTAAACGAAGAGCTGAGGCCCAGAGTGAATCTGAACGGCGCGCTATTCCATCTCGTAATATCTCCTCAAACTGTGCCTTGGCTATTTTTAAACGATCAGGCGCTAGGCGTCGAGGTCTGCAATATACTGGTGGACCAGGCGTAGTGCGAATATAATGTGCAGTCTGATGTTTGATTTCGCGAAATATGCCTGATGATTTAGTAAGAGAAGGGAAACGAGCTAATAAAATGTGGTACTCACTTTTACCAGAAATCGCCTTAATACTATCTAACTTACAGGGCTTACTCGTAACTGTCGTTGAGAGGGCAGTTAAATTATCCAGTAAACGACCATTCTTACAATCAACTAGCATTCCATAATGTGCGATGAAGTCTGCCCCTATGATGGGTTTGTCCACATCGGCTACCACAAAATTCCACGAAAAGTCGCGCCGAAATCCTAGGTTGAGGCGTATTTTCATTAATCCGTAAGTACAAATGCTGGAACCGTTTGCTGCTGTAAGGCTGTAATCAGTAGGTTTAACATATGCACGTAGGAATGTACGAGGCAAAACACAAAGATCGGAGCCTGTGTCGATTAAAAATTGGACTTTACTTTCTTTGTCAGTTACAAAAGGGCGACGGGTAGGCGTATGACAGTCGGCTGTCGCCTCTACTGACCGTTTCTTAAGTTTTCCTTAAAATTGCAGGGTAGAATACATTTACTCGCCTTTTCAGAAAATTTATAATGATACCAACACATACCAAAATTCTTAATTAGACCTTGTCCGGCGCATCTAGATCTACTCCTCGACCTATTAAACCGCTTCCGAACAGTTGAACGACCATGGCTTGACTCGACGTTCAGTTGAGATAATTGTCGACTAAGTTCCGCTTGTATACGCGACGTCAATGTCTGCTCCAACCGTTGAAACATTCCTTCTATATTATTTGAAGAAGTACTAGCAACTTGTGAATTGGGGGTAGGAACAACGTCGTAAATTTGATCCGCTAAAATAGCAACCTCGTTGGGACATGTAGCTTTTTGTGACGCAATAATTACTTGAATATGCGTTGGAAGACGACCTGACCATAAACTACGCAAAAAATCATCGCTAACTAAATGACGTAAAAACTGCGATGGTTTACGATCGCCTAACTCTTCATGCGTAAGTAATTGACGCATACGATGATCTCGCGAAACAGAAAGATGATTAATAAGTTCTTGTTTTAATTTCTCGTACTTGCCTGTCGAAGGAGGATTTGTAATAACGTCACGTACTTCCCGTGCGGTGCGTTGATCGAGCTCTCGGATCACTTGAAATCTTTTAGTACCAGTACACGCAAATTGAGCTTCTACTTGTGCGAACCAAATTTCAGGATCTTCCGGCCAAAACGCAGGTAAACGTAAGTTAACGCGGTCCACTGCACTCGAATCTTCGCTGAGCGCGTCCTTAAATTCGTGCACGACGTCATCGTTATTAACCGGTCCACTAGTAGGCGCGCTCATTATTCGAACGACGATGAACTAACCAACGGCGTGCAGAAAAATCAGAAATAAAACATATTGAATCTGGGTTCACCACTAAGGGGTGTAATGTTACAATCCCTACTACTATCGAGGATATCGGCAGTAAAAGACGACTATAGCAAATGAATGTCTATACTTCCGAAGAATACAGAGTATTAGTTAATTATAAAATAGAGCGCGGCGCGACGACGAGAAACATAGGTGGTGCGTGTAAGTGATGTCGATGCACACTGAGCTGCCGGCTGGTCGACTGGGAGCAGGTTTCGGGACCGGCCGCTGCGCGTCCCCCGCTGACCGCGCCCTGCTTGGATGAGGCGTAGTGATGTGCGCATGTAAAAGTGATGTGCCACAAAAGCACCGAAAAAGCACCTTCACTAGTTGGCGACTTTAGTAAAAGTTAATTTTTGCAGGAAATGAATGGATCAAAGATAGTAATTTCCGTTTCTATTAACTAATTTAATTTTCCAAACGTTAACGGTTGCCTGGAAGAAATTACTTCTTAGCGATAAGGCCGCCGATTTTACTATTTGTTATATATTATTGTTACTTATTTTATTTATTGGTGTTTTTGTACAATAAAGAATTATTATATTCTATTCTTTTCTATTCTAATATATCAAATAACTGAAATTTGCATAGGTCAAAACTTAGATATTAATACAAATACGAAAAAGTACAATAATAATATGAGTTGTTTATTGAGTTTTGCAAACTAATTTACTATTATACATGAAAGAAAACCGGAAGGGTTGTCATGGAGAAATCAATAAAGTACCGTTGAGATATCTAGTTTGATTTCGGGAATTAATGTTTTTTTTTTAAATACTTTCTCATTCATTATCAAACTATCATTCAGTTTTAATAAAATGGTAGCCACATCCCTATTTCCAAAGAGTAGTATTATAATTAGCCTATTTCATTTTGAGGTTAGATAGATGTCACACTGACAGACTCATTGACTCATGACATTTGTAAATATCATCGCAAAGTTTGCGAAATTCCCTTTCAAAATTCATTAAATATTCAATATTATCCTAAAAACAGACACGAAGAAATCCTGCTCTTTATGTGTTAATTTGAAGTTGACAAATTTATGGACCAATTATTAAAATGATGTTTTATTGTGGTTTGTTGGTGTTATTTTTGAGTTCAGTGAGAACTGGAAGTTTGAACGATAAAGGTTTGGCAAACAGTAAACAATTCGATGGCAGTGTCACTTATTCATATTGGCCGTCGATTCACAACGGTGCGAGAATGATGAAAATTCGGAAACGGGAAGCAGAACAGGTTGGTCAAAACGAAGGAGGTGGAGCTAAGATTGATTCGACAGCGTCATATCGTGCGTCTACTGCTCCACATTTTGCTCCGAATGGAGGGCTGCAACTACATCTACTACAAGCGAATTCTTCATTACCAACAAATAATATGACAGTTGTTTCATCTGACACCAAAACTCCAATAATGAATGATATACAAGTTCCTTCAAAAGGTAGGCATTATTATAGATGATTGTTTCTCATCAATTAGATGTATTATATGAATAAATTATTCCGGTATTTTTTATACTGCTCATTTACTTGTTTTATGATATTGATAGGGGAAATTGATTATTCTAAAAGCTAAAAGTTAGTCAAGTGGCATATAAATAAAATCAAGAGGAAAATATCACATTGTACATTTGTAGCTTAATCTAAACAAAAATAAAGTCACAGATTTTGTTACTACTGAAATAACATTTAAAATTAAGTTCACATGGGGTATTGTTTAAAAATAATATTATACAGTAAAAGCTTGTTATTAGTGGAGGAATCATTCCTTAAATATGCCATGAATAGGGGATGGCATTTAATAGAGAATTATAGGGGAATTTAAAATAAAAGCAATATGTATTTTAAAATAAATGAGATTAAGGTAAGTATATAGCTTTCATAATATAGGTTTTTTTTTAAACATTTTGTGAATGCTATAACAAAGCAAAAAATGCAAGGTGTTATAAAAACCACCTTGACATATGCCCGAAGTAAATAATGACGATGCGTTAATTAATGATGCTGCATACCTCTATGTTACCAATTGCATATGTGAATAAATAGATTTTCGCTGTAAGTACAGAAATTGGGCTAAAATAATTTCAAATGTGAACAAGAAAGCAGTAAATAAGTTGCTTCTTCTGTAATAATTAATATCATGAACTTTAAACTGCACTTTTTCAAAATTGTTTACAATATATACAAACAAGATTAGTGTAGGTATTTTATATAAAAGTTAATATACTAAGTAATTTTACATGCTTGAACTCCTTTTTTAGGGAGCCCAGCTAACAATGAGACAAATACCAGCACAGTTCTTCCGACATTAAATACTACAAAAATAAATGTTACGCAAACAGAGTCTTTGGACAAAGTAGATTTAAGTGGACCAGGAGTTGTGAAACGCGGAGCCATTGTTTTTGGAGGATTCGCATTATTAGCTGTTGCATATTTTATTTTCTATAGGTAAGTGCTCTTGAAAATCTTACTTATTTGTGTCCAGATCTTATTATTATTCTAGGTTTAAGTGATAAAAAAGATACTTATACATAAAACAAATTTATTCCTTTTTAAATAATCAAATAACATTTAATCAAGAAAAATGCATTAGTGGAGTTTAATTCTCTAATTCAATTTCATTTCATAACAACAAATAACAAAGAAAGGCTATTTATTTCATGAATTAAGTACATCCAAATTTTAATTAAAAATGATGTAGCAACAGCAAACATTATCTTTATTTATATTAATTATGTAAGATATCCCTTTAAATTGAGATTATGATGATTGTAAGGGATGAATGAAAGAGTGTGGACTGTGACTATAGGTTTATAGGATACAAGGGTAGCAGCCCAACAATAATAGATGCGCGCGGTGTCTCATGTGGTTGTGGAGCGAGAGTGACGTTGTCGCGGCCCTCGGCCTGTGCCGAGCCCGCTCCTCCTCCTCTTCACCTCATGCCCCGGGCTATCCTGCGTGCGCGCGGGCAGTGTTGTTACATCCAGATAATAAAATGGAAAAAAGTTTTTGCCTATAAAATTATGATAAACTAAGAAAGATGATGGTACTGTTTCATATTCTAATATGAACATTTTGTTATTACTTACCTCTAAATATTTTTAATAAAATATTTCAGGAGAAAGAGCAATAAGAACAATCCGAACAACACTCATAATGCGATTGATGCTAATCAATTCCGTTATGGTGTACTCCAATCTGAGGATAGGAGAGATAACATGGAGTTATCTCATGTACCTATTATGGGTGCCATGGAATCTGATGATGATGAAGATGACGATTTGGAAATATTTGATTTAGAACAGAGAAAGAAATCTTTATCATATGTAAACCTTCAGTTACATGATGACGAAATAGTTAATGGACTAAAGGAAGTATCCGGAGAGAACGAGAGGGATAATCTTCTATTAGACATAGAGGATTCTAATTCTGACGCATTAATCAATTGGTCAAATAATGGTAACAAATCTATTTTATAAGTGACTTGATAATGGTTTGTTTTGTTATTGTTACTGAGGAAAAATTTTCCTTCTATGAAAAATGCCAATGCAAGGTTGTATGCTTAAATATTTCTCAGATTTTTGAGAAAGATGTCAGTCAGGTAATTAAAAAACCTAGTAAGATAGTGTTACACAGGCCCATTGGACGGTCAATTTTCAGAAATGCCTGTTGTTAAAGAAAGAAGGTAATATAGTCCTAACTTATAAGACATGCTGTGCATTTGTAAATAGTAGTTACTTTTTGAACATTACAAAGTATTGTATTAAGCTACTTGCAATTATTTCCATATTTTAATTTTAATTTGAAATTATTTAGAGACTGGTTTCTCTTCCGAATAATTTGTGAGGAGTATGCTGACATAGTTGTATTTATTAAAAGTAATTTACCAGTACTTTTTATGTCAACTAAAATATTGATTAATGACCACATAAATTAAGAGAAATCAAACAATTTACTGACAAACTTTAAAAGTTTTTTTCAACATATAAATTAATTCTTTCTGTGGGAAAAAAAACAATTTTTATGCATGTTATTTTGTAAAACTTGAGGTGTTTGAATGTCAATGATATCTATGCATTTAATTTTTTGTTATTCTTTTGGTAGAATAAGAAAAAACCCACATGATTAACAATTCAAACACTAGATCTAGAGACAATATGTAAAGCGAACACGATAAAATGAGGAAAATAAAAAACTATTAAAATGACTTATTATTGTTTCCAACTGGATATAGTTGTTATCTTAGTCCAGTATCAATTTAAAAGTCTTATATTTTATTATTGGCAAAACCATTAACATTATCTTTTTAAACATTACACCAATAAACACACGCCTACTGTGTAAATAATAAACATAGAGGAAATATGATGCAATCGTTGTTACAATACAACCACTCTTAGGCGTATATCGTGAGTTATTGACATTTCAATCCTGTTTGCTTAGTATATGAGTCAGAATCAATGCAAAGCATTATTCTCAACGATATACTGAAACTACTTATCTCTCTTATTTATAGATTATTTTTATATTACATGGGACTTATATTGGTATTTTATTTGATCATTCCTGTGTAGTATAAGACTTGTATTAATCAGTAAATATACTTTTTGTTACTTAAAAGGAAAAAAACTATTAATTTGGTTAACTGTCTGCGTTTTTGTATTGTGTAGTTGGAATTGAATTTTGTTTTTATTTTTATATGTTTTTAGTTATTTAAGTTGTTTGGAATGATACATAATTCTATGGTTTCTACGAAATTTTGTCATTGAAGTATTGATTGCTGTATTTGAGTTATAAGTCAGATAGCTTCAGATTATTTGATTAACTTGAATGTGTCTTAATATAATACAAGGATCTACTTTAGCACCAGGTTTAAACTATAATCCGACCAAATCAAGTCAACATAAGGGTTCGGACGATACTTTCAAAAACGATAGTCGATACTAAGTACTCGATACTACAGCGCGTTAAGTAGGTACTCGCAAGTACTCATAAATATTACCGATATCGAGTATTGTTTGATAAGGCCTATTCACAGTTGTCATTTGACTTTTATGACTGAAATTTATAAATCTATAGAAGTATTAATATTTTATTAGTTATTAATTTATTTCCTAACCTGGATACAATCTATAAAAAATATATTTTTACGAAATAACACTAGAAATAGATAAAAAATTGAATGGAATACAAACGATAATAAATCAGTAAAATCGCTAAATAGTTACAAAGTTTAAATATTTTTGATTACCTTATAAAATTGGACATAAAATAAAACTATGGCAGCATCTGGTGCTGTATCAAAATCTACGGCAATGTAGCAAGATGTAAATAAATCATGTTTTATTTTTTATTATGTTTAAAAACTGAGTTTTCAGTCAGACTACTCAGAGGATATTCCTAAACTCTGATTGAGAACTCGGGGTAAGTTTTAAGTCTAGTCTTGCTAGGCACAAATTAAGTTAAATTGTGTTTTTGATTCTTACTTAATTTTGTTTAAATTATTGAGTAATCAAAATTATTAAATAAAATGAAGAATTAACATGAGTTATTTAATATGTTTGTTACAGCAGGCTGCTGAATATACCTTTTCCTTCAAAATACGGTAGTTTTTCTCACCAAAAATTTGCCGTAAGAATATGTCTCTGGCAAAACTGTTTTAGTCGTTCTTCAATCGTCTCGCTTCGTTTTTTCGTTCGTTTTTTTTTTCGGAAAGCAAATTGAAGCAATTTTCTATGCATAAACATTCAAAAATATCAGGCATTGTTGCAATTTCAATTAAATGATGTCTGTAAATACTCGATACTGAGTAGTATTGATATTTTGCGAGCGATACTTTTATGGTATTAATACCATGTCCCTCGATACCACATAAGTACTCGGTACCGATACCAGAAGCCGATATTTCGATCCCTAGATTCAACACAATCAATTTGACGTTTTCTCTTCTGTCATTGATTTTTGCTTTAGGCGGCCAATGGTTTAAACTAAGTACTAACATTAGTTCTAGTTTTTTAACAAGACAGAATTCTAATAGAAATGTGTTTAGGTGAAATTTATCACGTGTAGGAAACAAGTAAATTTATGATTTGTACTGTCAACAGCAATGTAGGTTATCCAGAATTGTTAAACTTCTACAACAAAGTTAAGACTTAATACAATAACCATTAAGTTAAATTTGTTGTAACCTCATTAGTGACTGTCTGTGCGATTTAAATAAAGCGAGTTACTGTATATTCGCATGTCATGCCAACTTTACCTGTATTTATTTTTAACTGACAAACTTATTTTATTTAATCTTAAAGAGCTCTGTTACATGAACCCTGATAATAAAGCTGAGAAGCTTATTTCATTTTAAGGAAAAGGCTGAATTTAACGCGTCCTTTGGGCTATAATATTAATTAAATATATAATGTGTCGATCGAATCGATAAGTATTGCTATGTTAGCTGTTCTATAATAATTTAAAGCCACAAACAAATGTCAGATCTGAAATATATATATATAAATAATATACACGCTTATAAACTGTTGAAAAACTTGTTTTATTGAAAGAGTAGTGCCCGTAAAGGATATCATTGGTTTAAAATATGACCCATGTTATAGTACATGAGTCTATTTTTTTTAAATAAGTGAGTACAGAAATGTTAAATTTATTAAATATAAATAAAAGTACCAATATTTTCTTTTTATAGTAGGTACCTGTGTGCTCCTATATATTAAACGCTGCTTCTGTGACATTGAGTAAAAAGAAATGTAGGCAGTATCTATGAAAAGTCAAAACTTGGAGTCATTTAATGTTATAGTATTCAGCTTAATATGCACGTATGTTTATTTCAATATATGGTATGATCAGAATTTCATAATAAGTATACATTTCACGTTATTTTTCATGTAATGGGGCTCTTATTTATTACATGCACATATGACGTCAGCCATTACAAATAATCTACATAAAAGTATTGTTACTTTTAGTTAGCGTTAAGTATGTTAATGTGTAATAATGGATGTGAATGTAGTCTGTACTTATTTACAGAAATACGTGTAATATTGACCGATATTATACTTTATTATACGGTTATTAATTTTTAGACGTAAAATTTGAGAATAATGATTACCTTGGTAACATTGTTTTATCAACATTGTATTTCTAGAAAACTATTTTGTAGAGCAGTCGCCCGGATTGCGATAGCTCGTGGGTTCAAATCCCATCTCAGAGTACCAGGGACAAATTGTTTTTTTTAAGTATTTTTTTTATTCTATTCCATTTTTTTCAAAATTATTTAGTTAAGAATAATTGCTTTCCAAATATGGGTTGTCCATAGATGGCACCACAGGTGATCAAACGTATTCTTTTAGACAACGAATATTCACGTTGAACACATTATGTGTTTGCTTTTATTATTTTTCTTACAGCTGTTTTCTTTAACTCCTACCTAATTATTTTTAATGCTATGTATAGATTTTTATTGGTAAAAAAAAAGAAATTTTATAGCTACGTCTTCCTTTAAATGGCGGGTCATGAAAAATATATGTCCAGTTCCTCCAATTTTTAGGGAAAAAACTTATGATAATTTAACTATATTGATTGAATGTATTATTGTTGCTATTATTTTAAGGTTCAATTTATAAAAAAAATAAAATTTTGGTTATTTCAACACGGTGTCGTCCATATTCAATTTTTTTATTAAACTCAATAAAATTCATTTGAAACTGAATTAAATTTAGTTTCAAGCGAAGTTTTATTTGTAACAACAGACTAAAAATTATCGATATTAATAAAGAGAGCACAAATGTCAAATATTTGCATAGTGCCACATACTTACATATAGATTTTTAAAGCAATATTTCAAGATAGAGGTCTGATACGAATTCGATTGGCATTCAATAATTTATTATTCTAAAGATGGCGATGAATATGTGCTTAGATATCGTAAGAATAAAAAAACCGGTATCTAGTCTTTAAAGTAGTAAAAATTTTGAATACTAACTAAAAATTCCTTTCTTTATTAAGTACATTAAATTTTATTAAAATATAAAAATAATTCAACTATTTTTTACGAGTTCTTTTGCAAATTTTAATATAAAAATTAAGCATATTATTTATTTAAAAATATATAATGATATGATAAAATAAAAATAATACGCATCGTGTTATGCTATGGCCCGACGGAGTTCATACACATTTCAGACACTTAGTAGAGACATACTTTTATGTTGTGTCGCGTCACTGAAATGTGTTTGCGCCTTAAAGGTTCATATAATGAAGAGTGTTTTGAACGTAGTTAAATTATAAACATTTTTTTATTTGCATTTATAAACCTGTCTATATTAAAAGACTTATTTATAACATTTGTATATCAAAATATACATATTATGTAATGTCAGTTTCTCATCTAACTTACAAAATGGTTATCTATCCCAAGTTATATACAATTTGTTAATTTAAAAGAACTGTCCATATTTTTGGTGGTTTACAACAAATATTGTATTTTTTTGTTCAATTCATTTTATCTAAAGTAGGCGTTGAATTATATTTTGCACGTTGAGAACTATAGTGACACAATGCAAAAAAGGCGATTTTGAGTAATGAGCGTTTAAAGTTCAAGAAATTGTAAGCAGCCCCTCTAAACAACGTCTCGTCACTACGCCACCTAGCAGTTTCTATGCAAGCTACGTTCACAGGGATCTTTGCATTTTAAAGTTTATACATAACAAAGAAAAATTTTGTCAAAAGTTTAAAATACGTCGTTTTTGGTTAGTGACATTGTCATTCTCAACGTGCGATTTGTAAAAAGCTCCATTTGTTAGTGGACAACTTTTCGGTTTAGATACTTGTAATCTCTGCGAATTCCCTTTTGTTTAATCTCAAATTACGAAGAATTAATGCATTTTCATGATCTCATTGATTATATTGTAATGTGAATTTAAAAAATATATGATAATACTGTGAAATTTTCTACCAGTGGCTATATCCCACCTTATATCCTTCTTGTAAAGGAATTAACATGATTTTAAAGTATTTAGAGAATAATTATGCACGTTTTTAACATATTTTTGTTGTTCCATCCCTTTCTAAATTAATTTTAATCATTAGCCGTCTTAAAATAATATTTTTTTAAATCTATGTGTAAAGTAAAACGAGGACACTAAAAGTCATTACACACCAAACTACAAAATATGAAATAAGACTTGACATTTATAATGTTATATTAATATATGTTTTATAGAACAACCCTTTTTGAAGTAGTTTTTCTTAAAACGCTTCTTGTACTTTTTTATATAGAGTGCCGTGACGGAGCTGTGCACATATAATGCATTAATGCAACAGAAACATTAAGTGTGTAAGGACTCTAATTGTTGTTAGTTTTTGTTTGACGAATAATAAAAAAAGTTGTGTGCCATTTCTGCAAAGCATTCCATCGTTGCTGAATTAACTCATTTCATGTATCATTTCAGTATAATTATTAATATTAGTTAAGCTCTTAATATTGTTTAAGCGTGACTAAAAAACGACATTAGTAATACGATATTTAGTTGTTTTTTAGCTATCGAAATATCTGGAGTTAAATAGTAAATATACATTCAACAAATAAAAAATATGTTAAAAAAATCAACCAATAATAACCATTTTAATAAGATTTGGTTCGGT